CTCACACTGTAATTGCCTATTACATAGCCCAAGTTTTATTTTATTTATTTATTTACTTATTTTTTATTTTTGAGACAGAACCTCAAGCTGTCCCCCTGGGTAGAGTGTCGTGGCATCACAGCTCACAGTAACCTCCAACTCCTGGGTTCAAGCAAGTCTCCTGCCTTAGCCTCCCAAGTAGCTGGGACCACAGGCACCCGCCACAACCCCTGGCTATTTTTTGCTTGCAGCTGTCATTGTTGTTTGCTGGGCTCAGGCTGGATTCGAACCCGCCACCTTAGATGTATTTGGCTGGCACCTTAGCCACTTGAGCCATAGGCGCGGAGCCACAATTAGCTTTTCAAATGTATATCTTGCGTCAGGTATTTGTGTTCTTGTAGTTTCTACAACCTTGTAAATTACTGGTACTCATTTGAACTAGAACTGAAACATCAGTTATTAATCCTAGTATGTAGTAGCTTTAGCACAATATAAATAGTAATCCCTACACACACCCAATAGTGAACTATAAAATATTTAGATAAGTGCTTTTAAAAAGATAATATTTTAAAGAGGTTTGGCGGCACAGGAGATCAAAGAGATGACTTGGTGGTACCACAAAGAGATACTTTGTTTATGGCTGGGAGTTCTTATAGTAGCTCTTTTAACAACATGACACATGTCCAGAGCCAGGCTGCCCCTGAGCAGTCTCTCCCAGAACACTCAGTGAAGTGGACTAAGTCCAAGGAATTTCTGGAAAAAATGAGAAAGAACTTTCTAAGCACAAATGGAACAGAACTTTTTTTTTTTTTCTTTTTTTTGCAGTTTTTGGCTGGGGCTGGGTTTGAACACACCACCTCCGGTATATGGGGCCGGTGCCCTACTTCTTTTAGCCATAGGCGCCGCCCTGGAATAGAACTTTTGTGGATATTAGGACACTGTTTCAACCTCAGGCTTAGCTTCTGAGTCACTGTATAATCTTGGGCAATCCTTGGAATCTTGCTTGCTATTTATTTGTGTCCCCTGCCAGTAAAGGAAAGATGACACTAATTAGTCAGAGAGTATAAATGTCTGAATGAAAGATGGTACATAATGGAGATTGGTGTTATTACCACTCCATTATACCATTATGCTCTTAATATTGCTGATCATTAACAACATACCATTTCTGTTCCCTCACTTGCAACTACTGGAAGGAAGGAAGCAGACTGTTTAGATGGATTTTGTATTTAGAACCCATTTAGAATATTGGCTGATGCCACCTTTTCCTCACCCAAACAAAGACACTTCCTTTGATTTGTGGAATTTGTCAAATAATATTGGTTTGGACAGTTATTATAGAGGCCTGGAGCACAGTGGAGGGATAATTAATGCGTTCCGGCCATACCAGAAGACCAGTCAGAATGGGCCCCAAAAAGTGAAGTGTTGTCCAAGGAAGAAAACAGAGAAGTTCTGGAATTCCTAAGTGGTACCTACTCGTATTTCATTGAAATAAACAGAAAATATTGATTGAGAAAGATGCTGAAGACTCATACTTGGAGTCCTCATGTCTCATGGTATATTGCGAGATCTCAACCTAGGTATTTGGTATAGTTCCCTCTTGCTGCCATCTCTTTCCGCTTCTCCTTTCATTTGTGAAAATCTTCCCTAAGTTTGTTGACTACTCTTTCCCTGAATTTCTCAGGGTCCTAAAATCCTGGGTATGGCTTCTAGTCATTGTTGTTTCATAACCCAGGCAAGCAAGAGGTGCTGTGAGCTCCTATATGTTAGGGTCTTTTCTTTTAACATTTCTCAGCATTTCATTAGTACAGTTTACTGTACTTCTACTTGGAAAGCTAATTTCAGCAGGATTTCTCTGCTGGGCATGGATCTCTCTCTGTCTCTCTCTCTCTCTCTCTCTCTCTCTCTCATACACACACACACAAATGTTTTTTGCATTATATTTCTTTGGCCCATATTGTCACCCTTTAGATCTTTTAATAGCAGATCAGAGGTTTAGCCTAGTGTCTGTGACTTGACCTA